ACCTTCCACAGGGACACTGGTAGAGAACCAGCTAGAGATGTGACCAGAATTCAGCAGGTTGCCTCAAAGCAGAATCTCTGTTTATCACCTACCAGGTTAAGCAGAATAGTTGTCTTTGCACCTAGATTTTTTTTACTAAAAAAGAGCCTAATTCAGAAGTAAAATGTAAATGAAGGTATAATGCTAGGATGGAAGCAGCCTTTGAAAGAAGGAGTACACTTGCTATTTTTACCGTTTATTGAAGCACTTCTGAGATAAGTGATACTAGAATGTGTGGCTTTTTCACGGCTGTGATATATATCTTGAATGAAGTGGTTCTGTTTGGGTTTCAGATTCGGGAGGAAGACAAGGATCCCGTTTACTTGTACTTTGAGAGGATGATGACTTGTGCCAGAATCCGAGCATATGAACGCAAAAAGGAGGGGAAAAAGCAGCAGAAGGACCTATACATCTGTAATTCAGAGAATTGTACAGAAAAGGTGAGACCTTTTGTCCACAAACTTTTTTATAAACCATTTCATGTATTAAAATGTAAGGCAATATTTTTATAAGCTCCTAAGTCACTTTTGAAGATGGAACTCTAGGCTCCTAAATCACTCAAATGCTTTTGAAAAATGTATCCACACACTCATCTTACTTGTCTTACCTGGAACCTTCCTCCATCCAAATACAGAATTATGTGTAGTGCTTTAAATATCTGTTCATTCATAGAGCAATTCTGAGATTGGAACTGTATTTTTGGGAGAGCTAGTGGATATGTTTCTTTACTTGATTAAGCCCTGGACACTAGGTTGGTGAATTAGTCTATTTTAAAACATGTTTTACTGTTGAAAAAAATGTGATGTCACATTTAAATTAAAAATGTTCTCTTTGCCTCCGTTGGTCCCATTTATTTTCTCTTCCCCTTCCAGGAGCATGATCCTGAGCACCAGAACCTTAAAAAAGAAGTTTGTGGGATGGAGAAAGACACTGAAAAATCAGAAGGTAAGATTTGATATTTGAGCTTAACTGGAGTGCCTGCTCCCTATAAGTTTCTGAAAAATAACGTAGATATTGATGAAACCATGAGATGCCTTGAGAAGGTGATATGTCTAGAACTTTCATAAGGCAGTCTGAGACTCATTTAACCCCAGGTTTGGTACCTTTAAAGGATGTACCAAAGTAGTGTATTTGTAATTTTTAACACTTAAGGTAATGTATTATTACAGTTTAT